TATGTGCCAAAAAAACAGAAATAGATATCTTTTTTTATAAATAAGCCAAAAACTAGACTTTTTGAAACCTCTCAAATAACATTTTCCCTATTTTCATACAAAATAACTTTCACTTCCATACCTAAACATTTTTTGAACAAAAAATTTACGGTATAATTAACAGAAATAAGTAAAGGCTCGAATGATGCCAAATGTCGATCCAGTGTTGCAATGAAGTTTTCCATAAACGGATCGTCAGCTTCAAAATCCGCGAATTCACTATCAGACGGCGTATGAGACACGTTCAAATAAAGTTCCATGCTATAAAAAAAAAAGCATACAGGACAATGTTTAACTCTGCAACACTTGTAACTAAAATTCGTTAATTGTTAAGTAAAGTAAGTTACTAAACCTCGACTTTAGCTTTGGCCGAAATGCTGCTGCACATAATTTGTCAACGCCAACATTCGCGGAGCTGTCAAACTTTCGTACCAAGTCGTCCAGCTGACTAACAGCATTCTCCAGTTTCCCTTTCTCAACTTCACTCAACTGAAAAGAGTACCTCTCAAATAAGTGGCTATTACAAATTCGGAAAACGGAATGCCTGCGTCAATGAAGTGTAAATATAACATGCACATAGTAAAATATCCTAAGCTGACACAGCACAGAAAATATCACCAACACTCTAAAGTTAAGCTATTCAGCCCGACAGAAACTTAAAAGACGCATTTAATGCACCAGAATAAAAATTAAAAGCCTGCTTCAATGAGATGTTTTCCGAAATCATCCACCAGCCCTTTCTTCAGCGTTTTTGTACATTCGGCAGAAGCCCGAACATTGTTCAGTGCTGTTATGAAAATCTGAAAATATGGTGACTTATCTCGTTTCTGTGAACTCATTTTAAACGTAAAGCAGCGGCCAAAGTCTCTGGCTCAAGTGTTTCCGTCCCCGCTAACAAGGGATGTTAAAAAACTGGTCGATTAGCAATCAAGGATACTACTACAGGGCCACCTATAACGCCGTTATAGTTTAAGAACTATCTGTTCAGTGCATTTGGGGAACTTCCATTCAAAGACCCTATAACAGCACATCTGGCATATTGTTAGGGCACCCTAAATAAATGCCGAGATTTCTCAACGTTTTCTCTCTACGGCATTCATAAGCGATGTCAAATCCCAAACACCAAAAAAGGAATTATGAAAGGAAAAGATTCACGGACCACCACACAATTTTGAGAATGTCCCAAGCCGAAAGAAGTAAGCAAAAAGAAAACAGGGTTTTGTGTTAACAGTGAAGTCGGGTCTGTTCAACCGCAGGAACACGTGCCGGCCCGAGCATCAGTGTGGAATAAACAGACTAGTAGTAGAAGGTGCAGCGGCTTTTTTTTTAAAGTAAAAACAAATTTAGAATCTTCAAGAAGACACATAAAAAATGGAGAATTAACCAAAACAATCTTGGACTTTCACTGCGCACTGCAGATGCTGACATAATCACAATTTCAAAAACAACAAAAAAAATTCAAATAATTTCCAACCATACTGTTGTAAAAAAGCTCATCGCGCTGCCTGTTCGTAGAATGAAACCTATCCGTATCAATGAAAACGCTGTTTGTAAGAAAATACCTCTTTTTGCTTTTCAGGACCAGCATCCGCAACTGTTTTTCCATGCTGTATAACGTTATAGGCTGTCTGCGCTGTTTGGTACGCCTCTGCAGTCCACCCAGCGCCCGGATAACCGGCCTGAATTACCGCTATCGACAAAAAAGAAAAAATCACCGAGAACTACCCGCGCGACATGACTCTATTTTGCTTAGCTGTTTCAAGATATTAGAAAAACAATAACGGAAATTTCTTACCTTAATGCCTGCATAAATGTACTTCAAGAAATCGGTTTCCAATAAGGTAACACCATTATTCAACACTGCGCATACACAATCAACTGAGGATGAACTCAGGGAACGTCGAACACATTTACGGACAATGAAGAAAACATCGTCAAGCATAGAGCTAAAATCAGTCAGCTAATTTTCTTTGCTGCAACTTTTCAGGGAATTTTCAAGAAGTCATCAGTCTTTGTACATCCACAGAAACATGCAAATATAACGCCTGCCTTACGTGCACTAGTTTTTATAAACTTTTTCCTCCTCTCATTTTTCCCATCCTTTCCTTACGACTGATCCGTAAAAGTTGCGCAGACCTTGTTAAGCTATCAGTTTCTTTCAAATCCATTGTCATTGCTTTTGCAACTGATTCCTTCATGTAATACTGTTCCATAAGGACGTAACGGCCGAGTAGCTCCTGGAAACGTTCCCGTTAATGGAGAATTGGGGGAAACAAAGAGAAAAAAATTTAGCTGGAATGCAACTTACCTGCATTCGTGTTCCAAGTGTTGAGCGCAATACCAAATCATTTAATTTACCATCTCTTTCACGCTTCTGTTTTTCACGCGTCGATTCTAACCGATGAACATCTTCTTCAGTCATGTTCTCACTCTCTGATTCCTTTTGCTAAAAAAACCACAGGCTTTTTGGCATGAGGAAGTTTTCTTGGGATCCTTTTATGAGTCTTAGAAACTTTTTGCAAGAAACGAACCTGCTCAAAAGTTTTCGCATTCGCATCATTTAGCCGCCTCTTCAAATAGCGCCAATAAAGTTCAGTTCGGGTATGCATCAGTGTCACTTCTGATAACAACACATCCAATTCCAGCGCATCAATTTTATCTAAAACCCTAGAAACTTCGAAAAAATAATTCTTATCAATTTTGCTAATTCTTGCTAGGGATGAATTATATCATTTTTGTTGTCTTACTCTCAAGACAAGTGCATTTCGATATTTACTTGAGTCAGCTGCAATTTATAGTCTGATTCTTCAGTCAAGCAGTCGGGCAATACGCCCAGTTGCTTTACTCAGTGCCGAGTCATCAGATGACTTTGATATTT